ATAGCTTGAATTGAATCTATACAGAAATTTTCGTTTGTAAAACTTAATATTAAGTCACAAATTTTTGATCGCAAAACCGGTTGATTATATCAGTAGATATAATCATCAAACATGATATAAAATGATTTATTACATTTTTTTACAAGTTAGACACAAAAGAGATAACAAAAGAAAAAGTTTATACTACTGTATTCTCCAAAAGAAATACAATATTTATTTAAATCAATAATTGTTTTTTATAATAAAGAAGATTTCTTTATTATATATTATTTCTTTATTATATTATATCTTAACATTTTTTTTTTAGAAATTTATCAGTTGTCTTGTTAAACAAGAATAAGACTCAAAAAAACGATGTAGAGTTGAAGCTATGGACTATTTGGAAAATATCAAGAGCTTATTTGTTATCTCTTCACGAGTGCATGCTAATTAACTATCAGGTGTTATATTTACATATTATTAAACTTTTTTGTTGAATTTTTTTATTGCTTTATAGATATTAGATGCTTCATAGATAGCTTTGAAATGTCTTACAAATCAAAATTGTATACGTAATCTGCTGTTAGCGACAAGAGAGCATTTAACAGTTTATATCATACTAACATCAAAAAATAGTGAACATAACACTATATTAATAATAATGACATTATGTCTAAAGATATCTTCCAACAAGCGACTCAGTACACCGCAATGATCATCTTATCCATGTTTAACATTGACGAATAACAAGATAATAATGCACCGTGTTATATCGTATCATGTGTGTCTCTTGTTGGAAGGCACCCTAAGGCTAATTCTACAATGTGCTCTTTGTTTCCTGTTTCTTGCTGTTCGTCTCTTGCTTTTTTGGTCAATAAGTCAAGAGACAAACAGCGAGAAACAGAAAATAAAAAGCACATTGTAGAATAGCCATAAGTAATGATGTATTTGGTTTATGCTCTTTGCATTTAATGCATATTATAAGTATATCTGTATTTAATTCAACTACATAGTCTTTTAACGGTAAAAATTCTTAGTGTTCTAACTGTACTACACATAGTATTACCTCTCTGAATTCCTTGAGAGAGACTTTTTGCTTAAAATATTCGTATTAGAATATGTACAATTATACTCCATAATATTTTTTGCCTTGATGAACTAAAAAACTAGATTAGTTATTATAAGAGGCATGATGCGTTATATTCTGCGTTATATGTATTTCCTCCGGCCGACTCTATTGTTGGGAGTAGTTTATTAATGACACACATGACGGCCTGTGAATTCAATGACAAACATCTATCATGAGACTGCGATTCCAAGAATTTGGTCATATTGCATTTTCTCATTTCAGGGAATTAATTTTTTAACATGCGATTATATAATGCATTTTTCGCAATCGTTATTTAATTTATCTAACATTGAGAATGATTAGGATTGAAATGTTTGTTAAATATTGTTTATATTTTATGTCATTCGTTGTTTATGTAAAAGTATTAGTACAAATCATCTTGGTTTATAGGTCATCCTTTTTATTTTATATTTATTTATTAGTAAGACTTCTATTAGACAAGTTCAACAAAATCTGCAGTACTATTATCTGTGATAATACTCTATAGACCGAAGTAGATAAAACAAATTATAACATATTAAGATCGTAGACATTTATATGGCTTGATTTACGCTGAAGTTGTAACATTGATATTATGAAACTGACTAATTACAGTCATTTCATTCTTTAAAGGAACAGCTATGATTGGCTAATTTCATAACATCGATGTTATAACTTTTAGTGCGTATAGGAATACGCTATTTCTATCATTCTTTGTTATTTATTAGACGTGAAAGATAGAATGACACTAACAGTGCTAATAACACTATTTTCCTGAACGCACCTTTCGTAAATCGAGCGGTGTAAACGTAGTCATAGATACGAACTAATATACAGAACTATCGTTTGATGAAAATTATAATGTTAATAAGCTGCTATATTTGTTGCAAGTTTGTAAACTAGTCACGTTAATAGACCGAAAATTAATTAATTGTTAGCTAAAACGACATGGTGTAACAATACATGCTGTTTGATGTTATAAACTTTAATAAATCTTAATAAACCATGACATGGTATAAAATCAATTGAAATTAATCAATAAAAATAGACTGTTTTTAGATATTAACATACAAATTCTCTAAAATGAAATTTAATTAATAAACTAACACTTTATTTTAAATAACGTGGGATACAATCTCTTAACTTTATTCTAAAAAAAAATTGTTAATCTTAGTATTTTTTTTAATTTTTTATATACATGAAAAGATAATGATAAGATATATTTTAAAATATTTTTGCTCTGCATAATTTTCAACAAGTAGGTTATATTTACGAATGTTATTTTGTCGGATATTATAATTTACTATCGTATTTATTACAAGGATACAATTTATAAGAAAATTTAAAAAACAAATATTCCAATTGCAAAATAGCAACGCGGATGATTTTTCTGAATAGGTTTTTTTTTTCCTGGCTATTAATTCATATTGCAGCAAATGAGTGGAAAGAAAAATTATGAGTCATTTCCCTTTTTACGTAACGATATAAATGCTTTATTAATAGATGATATTGAGGAATATTTTTTTTTCTCGCTTTTCTGCAATTATTAATCCATTTGCAAGTACTTTGTGCTACACGATCAAAGAAAAATGAGATATCCACAATGACAAAATTGTATTACTATAACACTGAGAGGAAAGTGTTTGGTATTTGTAACTATAATTATTTTTACTATAATTGTGATTATTACTGCTATAATGTTAGTAATAATAACAAATTATGTATGGTTCTAACAACAAATATATGTAAGGTCTATTTTCTGTTGCTAAACTGATGTACTTTTGGAACTCAAAGTGAGATATATGTTTAATATTTGACGAAAGCGAGAGAGTTCTAGTGTAGGAACAAAAAATAGACCAATAATCAGCAACTAAAATGACAATAAAAGTAATACTTGTAATTTGAATTACTTGGATGGTAATTTCAACCATTTTTTTATAATAAACTGTAATTATAATCATTTGTCACTTTAGGTTGTCAACTATATACATTTGTTGCTAAATCTATATGGTTATTATTACTAATATTATACCAGTAATAGTCGTAATTATAGTAATATAATAGTAATATTAGTTACAAACATCAAACATTTTTCTTTAAGTAAACGAGAACGATCGATGCGGCTGATTATCTTTGGGAAATATTTTTGAGCAATAAATTATATAATTATATTACATTTATCAGTATCATTAATATATTAATAATAGTTGCAACGTTTCGATAATAATTTTATGATTATTGACTTTATATAGTGACATAATGATTAACATAAAAAAAATTCACGATCAGTTATTGAATATGATTGAAAAAGATATTGACGCAATAAAAACTATTTATTAGATTTCTCTCTTCAAAAAATTCTGTTTTTCGAAATTATTTGTTTTCAAAGTAGGAAGAAAAATTCCATGATTATATCTATCATCTAATGTCGACTATCTTGAATCTTAATCTTTTGCGAAAACATTTCAGAGCCTTGGAATATTTTAATTCGCTTACACGTGCGCGTTCATTAAAAATGTACAGCTTACATATGTTATGTAACATATTGAGTGGGAAATATTTTTTCTTTATATTTATGAATTATCTTTTATGAGTATAGAGCAATTGCATTAGGATTTTCTATTTACACATCCGTTTTTAACGATAATCTTAAAAATTGGAAAGTATTATCCATATCTATATAATTCATACACATTTATACAGTTCATCACAATCGTCACGTAATTTAAACTCTAGAAAATCGACGTAAAATCATCCAATACAATTATTGTTTTTTCTTAATTTATTTTTTATTATTTTTCTTAAATTATTTTACTTAATTTTCTTTTCTCTAAATTTATTATAAATTGAGCAACATTGCTTTCTAAATCTGAATCAGTGGATAGTCACTCATTATTTAATGACATACATATTATTCTTGCATTGAATAATCAGTGAAGATCAACTAAAAAAGGAAGAATGTTTGAGCATTATATAACTAAAATATTGATATTTGCACATTAATTTCAATTTTCCAATACCATATTTATCGAATTTATGCACTGAAACAAGATTAGTTAGATCACACAATAAAGATTAGAGATCTTACATTTCATTCACTAATTACTACCAGTAATTAGTGAATGAATATTTGGCACTGATATTAGTGATTATCCATTTATTCAGATTTAGAGAGTGAGAAAAAAGAGATGTAAATATATGCGCATTCCTTATATCTTATAACGCTGCAATATTTAATGTTGATATCCATATAATTCCTTGAGCCTTTCAACAAAAGCGAATCTTATCACTCATTTTTCCAAGATTCTTTTATCATATCTGCAGCTTTTTCGCCAATCATATATATTCCCGCATTCACGTGGCCATTAGGTATCGTAGGCATAATTGAAGCGTCCACTACTCTAAGTGCCTTGATTCCGTACACTCTTAGCTGCGGGTCAACGACAGCATAAGTGTCCGTCCGAGGTCCCATTTTGACGGTTCCTATTTCATGATTCATCATGGATGGCAGATGCTTGATGGCACAACGCCAATAATCATCGGAAGCAAATTCAAACTGTTTACAGCCTGGTATTTTTAAATCATGCAATCGACTGCCGTAAGCCTGAAAGGCTTTGGTTTTGGATATGTTGATAGCGTGCTTTATTCCTTCCAGAATAATCTCTATATCGACCGGATGGCTGAAAAAGTTTGGATCCATTTTGGGTGGCTCGAATGGGTTCTTCGATTGCAATGTGAGACGGCCGACGCTTCTAGGATGTTGAACGATCGGCCAGATAGACCAGGCGTCCTGCTCTTCGATCGGTTTAAAGATGGTATCGTACAGATCATCTGAAAGTCTTAGAGCTTTTTTTAAAACCTGACCATTGTCCGAATGTAGAGAACCAGACACAAAGAGAAGTTCAACGTCCGGTCTCTCGTCAGGAGCGTATTTGGTACTGATGAATGCTAGTGCCTCTGCACCTCCTGGAATCGACATCGGGCCACGTTTGTATAGAAGGTACTCCAGCAACAAGTTTGGATTAAGCAGCCTGCTTTGTAGCAGCGACTCGCTCTGATTCACCATGAAAGTTAATCCTAGGAAACCGACGTGTTCGTACATACTGTAACCGACCTTGGAGTCTTGAATCACTGGGATGTTCAATTCTTCAAGATGTTCTTTTGGTCCAATTCCTGACAACATTAACAATTTCGCCGAGTCAATTGTACCGGCTGATAATAAAACTTCCTTTGAGCAAGTCACTTTCTTCCATACGGTATCCTTGATGTATTCAACGCCGTAAGCTCGATTATCCGCGTCGATTAGTATTTTGGTCACTCTAGCACCGGTGATAATCTCCAAGTTCGGTCGATTGATCTGCCCGAGATAGGTCGTGCCGCCAGTGCAACGCTTTCCATGATCTATGTTCACCTGGATGTACGAGAAACCTTTCTGATCTTGGCCATTGTAATCCACAATTTTATATTCCAATTCTTGTCCAGCATTTAGAAACGCAGTCGCCAACTTTGTATGATATGGGACATGTTCCACGCATATATAACCGTTTTCATTATGATATGAAGAATTCTTGAAACCTAAGTACAGGAATAATAAATTTCGTCAATAGTATGGCAAGTCGTGACTTGATATGATATTTGAAAAATTAATTTCCATTCTTGAATAAGATAGATTATTCTTGGAAATATTGACCTGAATTTGACCATATGCGATTGACCACAGCTACTCACAGTGACCAATTAGAATTTTTTCATTGGAGCGTTGTAAGTGGCTTGTGATCAATCGTAATGTGATCAAATGTCTTCCACCAATCTCTTGTCATTTTCTTGTTATGTAGAATCTATTCTAGTCAATTTATAGAAAATATTCTGCGCTTTCTTTTAAGATTGTTTGAATAAATTAATCTGAAATTCTCAAGTTTGAAAAGTTTGAAGGAAAAAGGCAAAGTATATTATACAGGGTGGGCCATCTATTGGTACGTTTTTAAAAATGCGATCAAATGAGCATACATTGATATTTTTTATTAATTTTTTTTTTGTTGTGAAGCTAAAAGTATCCGCGTCAAGAATGAAAAACGATTTCGTTCATGTGGCTCCCTCTACTGGCCTTACAGTATGCCATTCGGTCACCCCAATTATTAATGACATTTTGGACTACCTCGGCGCCAATTTCACTCAAAACAGTCGTAATATAATGTCATCCACTAACATCCCTTTCTCGCGAACTTTCCTCACCAATTTGCGTATAGCTCCTTCGGTGGGTGCTCTATCACGACCCATATTTCTTTTCAAAATTCGTACAGTTTCGGCGACACAGCACTGACTTTGAAAATAAGTTTTTAAAATTTCAAAACGCTCTTCAAGAGAAAACATGTTGTTTCGTGCCGCGGACGGTATGACTAATAAACTGTCAAAATTTCGGGTCTGTAGCTCGTTCGGTGTTGCCATACGACGAAATTCAAAAACGTACCAATAGATGGCCCACCCTGTATAAAAGGGAAAGTATTGTTTGCGAGAAAATGCAAAAAAAAACATTATTTTCTACGATTCCCTGGAAAAAAAAACATAATTTTATTGTTCTAAACTGGCAGTAGAATTTAATAGTTTGAATCAAAATTATCTTGAATTGGAGTTTTGTTATAAACATGAATGTCTTAATTTTTGTCAATTAAAAATATAAATTTATTAAAATTCGTATAAGGAACCATCTTCAGTGGGGATACATAACTTACATGTATTCTTATATATTCTTTCGTCTATTAGATTACATAAAAATTTGTCGCAAATACTTTATGCCAGAACGCATTCGGAGTGATGATCCTTATCAAATTGAGTGAATATTCTTGTGCATTATAGTAGTAACATTCCGAATGTGTCCAACAATCTGTTGACATGTAAACATTCATTCTGTCGGTTCGACAATTCTCAAATTTTTAAGCCAATATCACCATAATTGTACAAGAATGTTCACTCGATTTGGTAGGGATTATCACTTCGAAATGCGTTCTGGCATGAAGTATTTGCCACAAATTTTATCCACTGAAGATGGTTTCATTGAAGACCGAAACGTTTGAAACATTTTAATTGTAACAATATATATTTTTTGCACAAACAATGTGCTTGGTTCATTTAGCTCTTATACGAATTTTATTGAATTTAGTAGTTCGCTTTATTGAATTCAGTAGTTCGCTGAGCCATTAAAGTTTTTTAATTTTAATTTAAAAATATAGTTTTCGATCACTTATATAGACAATATAAGCATCCATATATTAAACAAAGTGTCTAAGAAAAAACTAAATTACGTGAGAAAGAAAATGTAGGATTTACGTGTTTATACTTACATTTTTACGTGTTTATTATAGAACATCTGAAAAATTTCGAGCGTCAACATGACATGAAAATGACATTACTTGTCAAAACCAGTTTAATACTACAATAGCACAATGCTTTGAAAAATAACTGTGAAAATAGCTACTTTGGACGCTCAATTGTTGTTTGACAGTCATTTGTGCCAGTCGATATCAGTGTTTTCGCAAAAATAGAAAAAATCGAATATCGACGGCCGTTGTGACAAAAATTTACGAATTGTGATTCAAATTGATTGATCCATCGTATTCATCGGGCCCTCAACTTTTTCTTAGGCTCAAAGTTTAACTTAAAAGGCCAGAGATTTTTATCAAACAAAAACACTGATACAAATCGACTGTCATAAATGACTATCAAACAACTGAGCGTCCAAAATGGCTACAATTCTTTATAGATATCTTTCAAAATATGTACGTAATTATTTTTATTGTAATATATTATTGTAATATCAGAATGGGTTTCGATGAGTAATGCCATTTTGATGTTGAGAAACTTTTCAAAACTTTTCAAAATTTTTCAGACAATCCTCGTAGAATTTATCGTCATGTATACATATGTAAGAAATTTGATAATCCATTTGTGAATATGGAAAGATTAATCGTAAATTGAAAGAGAAGTGTCGTACCTGGTATATTAAATCTTTCACTTTTTTTAAAATATGGCAGAACGTCCATGTAAGACCAGCCCACGTTGCCCAAACTAGCCCATTGGTCGTAGTCAAGTTTGTTCCCACGTGTATGGATCATATAGTTCAAGATACTCGTGCCACCTAAACCTCTACCTCGCGGCCAAGCACACTGACGATTCACCATCCCTAGACAGGCATTCTTTTGTGGTTCTACATTGTAACCCCAATTGTAACCAGTTAATTGAAAATAGCCGACAAATATTGGAATCCGATTTAAAAAGTTTGGCATATAACCCGCTTCTAGTAACAGAATTTTCCATTTCTCATTCTCTGATAAACGATTAGCTAACACAGAACCTGATGATCCGGCACCTACGATGATAAAATCATATTTGCTTTTGCTTGTAAATTTTTCCTCCTTTCCGAATGAATGAATATAATTCTTGACATTGTTTAAGAAATTATGAGCACTGCTTGTCGCCACGATTATGATGAATAGCCACAGTGTTTTCATGCTGTATAAGGTTCTGTAAATTTAAATTCAAATTATACACAACACACACACACACACACACACACACACACACACGCGCGCGCGCGCGCGCGCGCGCGCGCGTAAAATTTACAGCCGATAATTTAAAATATATTAGGTGTTGGAATTAATTCGTAGCGTTTTACAAGTGATGGGAAGTACTTTCATTAATGTATTTTTTAATGCTCATGTGAAATAAATAACATTCTTTCATTAAAAAACGCTACGAATTAATTCCAACACCTAATATAAATTTGAAAATTTAAAAAACGAAGAACATAAAAAACCACAGCACAGATTGTCGGTTGTGAAGATTAAAACTTTATTCAATAATGAATTATTTAAGCGTTAATCAATATCCATATCAAAAAATAAGCGATTAAACGTTTAAGGTAGGTTCTCCTTTTCCTTCAAGAATTGTTCTGGTACTTTCGAAAGTTTCACTTGGTATATAAATAGTGGTAAAATACATGATATGATCAATAACAACACACAATGCCACGACTAAATTTTAATTATGCGAAAGTAATGTCTGAGATCCACCGCTTCGTTTTTTGATTGTAAAACAGATAACGCATCTACTCTTTATTTTTCGTACATAAGAGATTAACGAGATCATAAATTTTATTCTGATTAGAATCTGAAAATTCTTGTTCTACTGTGTCCTGACATATAAGCTGGTGTTGTAATATTGCCGCACGATCATCGTCACACTAATAAGAACACTTTTAATCTATTTTAACATATGACCGTTGTACTTATTTCGATTAAAAATTTTGCGTTTTAAGAGGATGTTTAATTATTCAAGATGGCCAGATTGTGGCCGAAACCTAATTTAATCGCTTATTTTTTGATATGGGTATTAATTAACGCTTAAATAATTCATTATTGAATAAAGTTTTAATCTTCACAACCGACAACCTGTGCTGTGGTTTTTTATGTTCTTCGTTTTTTTAATTTTTAAAATTAAAACCACTTTTATTTAAGACATATAAATTTGATATCCGTAAAACCAATACTTCCTTTAATGTGTACAGATCACCTCATAACTCGTCTATTTAATTTTTTTCTTTTCACACGCGCAATTCTTTTCACTATTCAATAAGAAATTTTAATAATTTTAAAACTTCCTGATGTTAAAAATTATGATTTAACACTAGAACTAATTTGAAGTAATCATCGATATTGTATGCGTGTGATTACTTTTTAATTATCTTAGTTTTTAAATAATTTCTTAGTAGTTCGATAATACACACCGTTTATAATGAGTCGCTATAGAGCGATTATTTTTTGCGTGTCCTCCTTGTACACTGTGACAATCGTATTGGGATATTAATTTCTACAGACCAAAATTTCTTGACCACTTTAGAAGGACCCACAACCGACTCTCCCTTTCAAGATCTACCAGAGAAATGAACTTTCTCGTCTGCTTCACGTAATACTTATCATGTAATGTATTTGAATCGAAAACCCCTTCTTAAATTGTTAATGAAATTGTTGTTTGAAGCTTCATTATTATTGTGTTAAGTGTTATTTTACATGCTTTTAATAACAATCTGTAATTTATTGCTCAATCAGCAATGCAATCGTTATGCAATAATGAAGAAGCGAAATCGGAATTTATAAATAAATTAATTGAAGGAGGAAAACATTAATATATACAAGTCAAGTCGATTTGTAGCTGATTAGGCTATAAAAGTTCTATTTTTTATTCTTTAGACTGCATTTATTATTAGACTGCACTAGCGAATTTTCTTTTTTATTTTCGCCAAATATCAAATATATATCTATTTTATTTCAAATTCCAAAAGTGTAGTTCGGCTACAGAAAATATCTATAATGTGTCACGATTCTATTATTTTATTTTGCTATCGTGAATTTTCTATGTCTGTTTTAATAACTATCTAAGTGTTATTATTATTTTATATTTATGTTGTAATAATATTTTATTAAATGTTTAATCACATATATTAGGTGTTGGAATTAATTCGTAGCGTTTTACAAGTGATGGGAAGTACTTTCATTAATGTATTTTTTAATGCTCATGTGAAATAAATAACATTCTTTCATTAAAACACGCTACGAATTAATTCCAACACCTAATAAATGTGACATAAATATACGAGAATAGAAAGTGATTATTCCACTTTCTCTAACATTTTTTTAAGATTTTTTTTTTTAGCTCATTTAAATTATAATTTCATTATGCAATAAATTTAATTACATATGCCTATATATTTTCATACATTTCTATACAGGGTGTTTTCATACCCATCATGAGCAGATGAATCGAACTGAGTCGAAAAGTCATCTACCATTTTGCAGTTTACACAATAGTTAATGAGATATTAATTACTCAAAATTGCTAAATATTGGTCTTGAATAATTTTTTACTCAAATACTATCAACTTTGTAGAAAAATTGCACGAGACAAAAATCATTTATTTTCTTCTTGTAGAGCTCTAAGAATTTTTTCAGAATTTGTTATCAGAAAGAATGCAGAATCATTCTGCATTCTTAGAGCTCTACTTCAAATTGCATAAAATTTGTGTTTTTAATATTATCCGATACTATTTTAATAGTACCGAATAAATGGCAAGTCGTTTTATTTTTTAACAGCAGAAAACTATGGCAAGTCATTTTATTTTTTAATAGCGTAAAAGAAATTTAGTTTAATGTAAAATTCTTAAAAAATAACTATCTCAAAAAAATTACGATTTTTAATAATGAATTAAAATTATGTCGTAACATAATAATATTTCCGTGAATTAAAATTATGTCACGACATAATTTTAATTCATTATTAAAAATCATAATTTTTTTGATAGTTATTTTTCAAGAATTTAACATTAGACTATATTTCTTTTATGCTATTAAAAATGGCAGTTTTATATAGGGTATATAAAAAGTCCCAGACCCTTTAAATATTTTGAAAAATAATAAATAATAAATTTTTGAGGAAAATGTTTCAGACAAAAAATTGTAGAGTTTAAAAAAAATCTATGATCACATTCGTTTGATATTGGGTGGCTAAGGTTAAACGGATATGATTAGTAGATTTTTTAAACCCTACAACTTTTTTCTGAAACATTTTTCTTGAAAATGTGTACTTTTCGAGATATTTAAATTTAAGGGGTCCGAGACTTTTTTGTGCACCCTGTATGTATTAAAATTGGTATATGTTAACATTATTACCGATTAAAAAATTTATTTTTCTTATACAAAATCCCAATAAAACCCATAAATTTCGGGTTTTTTAAATGGGTGAAATGAGTATCTGATGTAATGTAGATTGACGCAAATTATGCCGCATGTGACGGCATCTTGAGATTATTCAGATTAGGAAATCCTAATTAGGTGTCGGAATCCATATGATGGCCATTTTCATATGAAGCGCAAACTTGAATGTCATGAACTACATATCAGATTTTTTAATCAGGAGACAGGTGTCTTGCAGTGCTAAACCAAGGCAAGCGCAATGACATTACCGTGGTCCTTTACACGAAATCACGAATTGCGAGTAAATTTTACTGTGACTGCTAAGTCATTTCCATATCTGGGTCTCTTATGAGCCATGTAAAATTTTTTTAAGCGATTATGGCGTGGCAAAGCAGTGGCAAAGTATCGTGACATTATTGAGGATATTTCTATCAGAGTACCTTTTAGTCTTATTGAGAAATTTGGCTTTGACCACTGCCCTGCAGATTCAAGGCGTTATTTCTATTAATTTTAAAATTAGATTTTTTAATGAGATGAGATATATCGCATCAATAAAGTATTTATTTTATTATGCTTTATTAAACACTTTCATTGTTATGTATTGATTATTAGTAACATAAGAAAGGTTTTTTTTTTAGCTTAAAGTCTAACTCTGCGCGTTCTTTATTATGTATTTCTGTCCAAATTCATTAATTTTTATTTCGTATGATAAAAAAAACTAAGATAAGAGGCAAAAATATAAGAAATAAAAAATCATAAAAAGCAAGAAACAGGATATAAAGCTTGATTTTACTATAGATATTTTTATAATGTTTTATTCATTTATATTATATCATAAATTTGAGAGTTATATCAATACACATTAATCTTTTAAACAAACTGAAACTAAAGAGGTAAAACTGAATCTTAAAATAGATATTAAAAATAATTTGTATGAATTTATGTATCGCAATTTTAATCCTGTAAAATGGGCGTCGAAATTATTTTTAGTCTTGAAACGTAATTAGAACTAATAATTGTTATATATATATATATATATTATATATACTAATAGAGATTTACTTTGTTATGTTGAGGTCCTGCTTCCAATGCAAGTAAAAGTTTATTAATTATTTTGACAATTAGTCATACGAATCTTCGTTTTCAGACGAATATACGTTAATAATCGGAATTCAGATGTGAAATTGATTGAGTGTTTCCAAATAGGTTTTGACCGGCGCCGCAACATGTGGACGAGCATTATCATGCAGAAGAATAACTTTGTCGTGTCTGGAGTAGTAGTGGGCGCGTTTTTCCTTGAGTACTCGGCTCAATCTCATCAATTGTGTTCGGTAGAGAGCCCCAGTAATGGTTTCGTTCGGTTTGAGCAACTCATAATATACGACACCAAGCTGATCCCACCAAATACACAACATGAGCTTTTTTCCATGAATGTTCGGCTTGGCTGTTGATGTTGAAGCATGGCCAGGGGGTCCCCATGATTTTTTCTTCTTTGGGTTATCGTAGTGAATCCATTTTTCATCACCAGTGACTATACGATGCAAAAAACCCTTTCGTTTGTGCCTGGCAAGCAGCATTTCACATGTGAAAAATCGGCGTTCAACGTTTCTCGGCGTCAGTTCATATGAAACCCAATTTCCTTGCTTTTGAATCATTCCTAATGATTTTAAACGATGTGAAATTGCTGGTTGAGTCACTCCTAATGTAAGTGCAAGTGCTTCTTGCGTTTGGCACGAATCTTCATCCAATAATGATTCCAATTCCGCGTCTTCGTACACTTTCGGCCTTCCGCTACGTTCTTTGTCTTCGACGTCAAATTCACCGTTCTTAAACTTTTGAAACCACTCACGGCAACTTCTTTCACTTAAGGCAGCCTCACCATATGCTTCTACAAGCAATCGATGCGCCTCAGCTGCAGATTTCTTCAAATTAAAGAAGTAAATCAAAAGCTCCCGCAAATGACGTTTATTCGGCTCAAAACTCGACATTTTCGCACGAAAAAAGATATATGATGCAGATATAAAATCGCTGATATTTCAAGGTTATGTTGTTACCAGATGTCCAATCTTACGATATGACGTTTTACAGCAGACAATTTCATACTGGTGGCACCATCTTTTGTCAAACGGCGGAAACTTATTTATACTCCTAACTTATTTATACTCCTATAATAATAAAAGAGAAAAATTACCTTTTAAAAAAGAATATAAGTAAGAGAGAGGATAATAGTTAAATAATAAAACTGAAACAATTAAACAATAAACAGTAAAATTGATTAAATATTATTTCCATTGATTAAATATTATCTCAATTGATAAAATTTATTTCCATTGTCAGATGGTTTGACGTGTTAAGCACATGAGATTTAATTTAATGTGTTTCATCCTCTTAATAATCTTCATTCATATATTTATTTTTATGTACACGCACTTACACACACACACGAATACACACACACATACACGCACACACACTGTTTAAAATAATTTCTTCAAGCATTCCCCAACTGTTCAACAGCTTTCGTGTCATTATGAATACACATTGACATTGACTAAAGTAACAAAAGTATGTAACATGAATAACAGGAAAAATAAAAATAAATACGATAAAATATTGAGAGATCACTCGTGACAATACATTTGGACGCAGCGACGCTATAATAACAGAAGATTCCTAAAAGTAAACGAGAGTATCTGAGAACACAAAATAGAAGGCGCATCTTAACAAATCAAGTTTCATTATAATAACAAATCGATTACAATAACAAATTTCTTTTGCTGTTTGCATGGATTTGTGTGAACAGTAATAATTTTGCTTCAATAGCACAAAAATTTGCTAAGAACACATTATTTTGCTTTAACAACAAATTAACGTGGTTCTAAAGACAAATACATTTTTTCTATCTTAGCAACAAAACAAATTCTACTCTAATAATAAATAATTTCTAAAACTGGTTGTATTAACTAAATTTTATCATTGCCATGAATATATAATACAGTAGCAATGACAAGTTTGTTACAACAGTAAAATATTTTTCTCCGTGAAGATATGCAATTTTTAGTAATTAATGTCTTGTTAATTATTGCGAAAATTGCAAAATAGTACAGGACTTTTCGACTCAGTGTAGTCCGCTCTATCTACAACAACAAAAGCGACACAAAAGCGATTGACCAAAACTTATGGGACACTCTGTATACTGCTAGCTAGCTTTCAATGCTAGTTAACTGGTCGAAAACTCGTTTACTATTTGTATTATGTTCATGATTTATTCAAGTATCCCCAATCTTCTTTGACCATATCTGCCAGCTTTTCAGCAATCATAAAAATAGGTATATTTGTATGTGCTGATATAATTTCAGGCATAATGGAACCATCTGCTACTCGCAATCCTTGAATGCCAATCACCTGCATGAATTTTATACATTATAAATGACATATATATATATATGTATATGTGTATGTATGTGAGCGTATGCTCGCACAGGAATATTCAGAGTTCATTGTTACAAATGTTCTTGAATTTTAATAACATTTAATGTACACTTTAAAAATTTCATGAAATTTAATGTACTTTTAAGTTACACAATTTGAATTTAATTTCATGACATTAAATTTAATGTATTTTCATGAAATTTTATGAAACATAATGTACTTTTCATAAAATTTTATGAAATTTAATATATACGCGTATACAAAACTATTGTAGAAATTAGGAAAATTGAAAACGGTCATCAGGGAAAATCAGAGAAAAGTTAGGGAATTTTTCAAAATTTTTCGGAAAATTAAAATTCTTGACTTTAAAGAAGTTTAATGTGCATATACATTACACCTATATACGCAATTTAGAAATACTATCATTTTAGCAATTAAATGCAAGTAGTGTCAGCAACATTAATAGTAATTTACATTGCTATATTAAATTGCTCTTTCAGTAAAATATTTAACGGTTTCCAAATCAGTACGAAACTACCAGTATAAAAAAATTTCAAAATATTATTGGAAGCATCAGGAAAAATGATTAAATTTTGTCTGGAAAGCAAGGAAAATTATGGAATTTTAGGATGAAAAATTTGTGGCAACTCTAATATTTATTATAGATTTGAAAGGAACAAGTATTTTCTAATGCATCTTTTAACAATACCTTTAATCTAGGATCGACGACAGCAGTCGGATCTTCTTTCGATCCCATCTTGCAAGTGCCACTATAATGATAGATAGTAAGAGATGCCGTCCTCATCGCGCACTCCCAATAATCGTAAGAATCATACTTATAGTTTTTACATGTAGGTAAAGTATCGTTTATCAATCGTGAATCATACAGTTTCATTGCTTCCGTTTGACCGACGCTTATTGCAGCTTTAATGCCGTTTATCATCGTCTTGACATCTTCCGGATTGTCGAAGTAATTTGGCACGATCTCAGGTTTAACATTAATGTCGTTGGCCAATAGTCTTATCCATCCACGACTTTTTGGTTTTAATAACATCGGTAGTATGGTCCAGCCGTAAGTGGTGATATATTTGTTCCATATCTGACGCATTGCATTGTTCAAACCCATTACAGTCGGTAGAACTATATCTCCTTTCATTCCACCACCAATAAATAGCAGTTCAATGTCCGGTAAACCATGAAGTTTCGTTGAATGCTTTGTGTCAATGAAAGCGAGGGCTTCGCACCCACCTGGGATCGTTAATGGTCCCGATTGTCTAATCAGAAAGTCTTTCATATACGGATGAATGGGATTCATCATATTATCTGTTCGAATACTTACTGGCTCATCTACTGTCCACGTTAGATCGCCAAAAGCTACATGATCCATCAGATTTTTACCAACCGGCAAATCCCGGACGACGTTTATGCCGAGCTCACTAAGATGTTTGGCCGGTCCGATGCCAGACAACATTAGTAATTGTGGTGATCCGATGGCACCCGCGCATAAAATTATCTCTTTACTCGCAAACACCCTGTTAATTCGACGATGTTTGATAAATTCCACGCCAATCGCCCGATTTGTATGACGATCAATCAATATTTTTTTCACCTTGCTTTCACGTGTCACATGAAGATTCCGGCGATTTCTTGCTGGGTGTAGATAAGCTCTGTTGCTGCTCATGCGGGTGCCATTTATCGATGTGGTCTGCACATACGAAAATCCTATCATATTCTTTCCGTTATAATCCAATTCCGGGTATCCCAGCTCTTTGCCAGCATCTAAGAAAGCCTTTGCCAATGGCGTATGGAATAACGAATAAGAAATATGTAACGGTCCCTTAGTTCCGTGATAAATATTGTCTGATTGCAGCTCTGGGATATCGATTGTCTCCAGCTTTTTGAAGTATTTGAGGACATCCTTGTAAGCCCAACCCTTGTTCCCCATTTTAGCCCATCGATCATAATCCTCGGCGCCTCCTCTGGTTGCAATCATATAGTTTAGCACACTGCTACCGCCCATTACTTTGCCTCTAGGCCAGTTACACCTGTTGCCTTCCATGCCAAGACAATACTTGTTGGACGATTTAGTTTGATACTTCCAATTGATATCGTTGCTTAGCTGCAACATGTGAACGAGAAGCGGGATATCCATAAGAAAATTCTCTTTAGTTCCAGCTTCGATCAATAACACTTCAACCTGATGAATCTCACTTAACCTCGCAGCTATCGTGGCACCGGCCGTTCCGGCGCCTATTACCACGAAATCGTACATTGCTCCAAATTGCGGAACCATATCCGGTATTTCGTGGTTCATATAATGTTGACCTTGTTGTAGAAAATTTAGAGCTCCGATACCAAAATTAAATATATTCGTCAACACGCGTTCGCTCGTATTATTGCCGTAAAGATTGTGGTATTTGTTCATTATCGGTTGTCTGCTCGACTGCAATGGAACAATTACGGCGGCGGCACTGAGAAGGTAAAGGAGACTCGGCATCTTGTCCGGCGCAAGTTGATTATTGACTATTGGATGTGTCTCGAGTGGGGCACGATAATAGAAAACAGCACTTGGACGTTCGCCTGGCATATATACCGGCGTTGAGGTCCATGTTTTACGAGTGTCACTGTATGCGTAAATATCCATATCACTATACAATCTAACAAACAAGAAAAATATATCGGCGTATACGAACGATGTACACGCCGTTAAGAAAAAGATATCTTATATCTGTTTAATTAATTCTACGAATTTGATAATAAGGAAAGAAATGACATTTTGTATCTTTTCGATTTTTGGTTAAATCCAATAACAGTAATAACGTAATAAAAATAATAGTTCCCATAATTTATTATATTTTTATCAATGTTACGATCTTATTAACGTAATAGTCAAATTAAGATAGAATTTTGGAAGAGATAAAAAGATAGATTTGTTATTTCCAGATCCTATATCTTGCAAACAGATTCGCGATTTCAGAATGCTAAATTCATATTAAGATTTGCATTATTCATGAATGATGGAAATGATTTGTTTTAAATTCATTCTTTGACCATTTTTTATATTTAATCGCCAAATTCTTCTTTTAAAGGCTTTTTTTTGAATATATTTCATATTCATATATTTTGAATATCATATGTTTGAAAACTTCCTCCTTTACAAAGATTAAAAACTGATTTATATAAATCCTGAGAAACTGTAAGATGATGTGGGAAATAATTGCGAAAGAATAAATACATTAGGAAAATACCAATCGAGTTAAGTAATCGAGATATGTGCTGATCGTGAAATTTACTATTAATAATAATTAAAAGTAATATAAAAGGCTCTGTAGTAATAAGCAAAAGGTAGTATACAAGAAGGGCAAAGAGCCAATGACGTAAATAATAATTAACTTTGATATCAAAGATTATATTCACGTATTCATATTGTTTTAATCGATAAAATATTCTTTACGAATATGATTATTTTTAAAACAAGTTATTTGATGTAATCAACAATTTATCTTCGCTAAATATAAGTATGGTATATTAATAATTAATAAAAAAAAAACATCGATAAGAATTTTGTTTTAAAAAAACGATTGAACAATGGAAATTAACTGAGTATAAAAATGATAAATGCCACTTTGTTATTTGTTATTTTATGATTTAATACAGAGATGACAAAAGAATTATGCTACTCAAAACTTTATTAAGAATATTTAATTTAATTTAGAGTTTGGAACATAAGCGTTTTGTTAATGCAAATTTTTCAAATCGACGTTCGATTCTTCATTTCGACTTTTAAGAACTGTAGTAAATTATTTAGAAATTATAATTTTTTGAAAGCAATATAACTTTCAAAATTTGTGCAACAAACAGGAAACTATCGGACAAATTAGGTCGAAATTAAAAAAAAAATAAATAATGATTTATAAGTATGTTGATGATTTTAGAAAAAAAAAGTAATCTTTTTCCATTTTCAATAATCGAATTATTTTTTTAATCTAATTTAATCTGAATTATAAAAATTTGAGCACACGAGTGTGCAATTATGATATTGTATAATTTATTGTGCTTTAATAAGATATTCTATCATTTTTAATGTATTTTCTTTGAAATTCGAAACTCGATTTTTTTTTCATTTTCTCTGACAATGAGAGCAAAAAATATCTATTTTAAAAATAGTTTCCTTTAAATTCTAAGCAAGCCTAATTTTAGCAATTGCGTCGATTGTACGTATGTACAAAATTACAGCTTTTTTCCTCTGTATCCTTGAAATAGTTCTTTTATTTGGATTGGACTCGTGATAAATTCTTTGCAATACCGGTTTCTTTCTCGATTGTCAAGATTCTTTAACGGTGACCCTGACTGAGGCAACTGTTGACTAAATAAGTTTTTGCCCAAACTTCATTAAATTGAATTAATATTTATTGCCAAAATTTTATACGATTATATGTATGCACGATTTAATGCAATATGGAAATATTATAATGGTCATCACATGCATTTTCCCTACTGTATAATCGTAAGATGTATCGTAAGAATTAGCCAATCAGAGCTTGCATTTTTGATAATTCTTGACTGATTGACTAATTTTTTCGGTGATATATCTTACTGTTAAAAGTGTGATCTTACTGGAAAGTGTGTGCGGCAGCTCTACAGAAAAGTTTAAAAGTTCCAAAAAGAAATCAGAAATAACATTACAAAAATGCTAATGCGAGTCTGTATGATAATTGTTTCGAAAATCTATATATTTAATGATTGATTACAAAGTTAAAACTGTCTATGTTTTGACGCTAGGTTTGGATCCTCTTCAATGAGAAGAAGATGCAGTAAGCAAATGACTAAAATATTATAATACTATAATAATTTGAAGCTAATGGGAAACTTTATTATTTATGAATATACTTTTATTTTCTTTATGAAGAATATGCGAGATATATTAGAGAATAACATGTTGAGTTTATCTCTGCTTATGTAATTGTTACTGAGATATTATTTGGAATCTATGTCAATGTCACATTTAATCAATTCGCACATATATGAGGGGAGGAGATATTGATAAAATCTCGGCATTTAAATTTTCCATATAAACAGATTAAACTGTGTCTATAAATATATGATGAACTTACAGTATTACAAATACTAGATGGGGTGAAAAGTAACCTCCTTGACCGCCAGAATGCGCCACTACTGCAAAAAAGTTTATGGTGCCTTGTAGTCCGTTCATATTTAGGCAGACATGCCAAGTGGCAGTGCGATACTGCCCTTAGTTTTGTTTTGAGAGCTGATTGTTGTTGACGTGTTTGCGAAAACGATTTTCGTTCTCTCATAAAACATTATTTTTTGAGAGGCAAAACGGCGAAGGAAACAAAAGAAAAGTTGGATAAATATTATGTGGCTAATACTCCGTCAGATTACACCGTCAAATATTGGTTTCGAGAGTTTCGTGGTGGCCGCAACTCCACTACCGATGAAGTCCGCAGCGGCAGGCCCTCCGATGCGGTTACCGAGGAAAATGTCAAAAAAATATATGAAATGGTGTTGGCTGACCGGAAAGTGAAGGTGCGCGAGCTAGCAGATGCTACAAAGATTAGTACTGAGCGAACACGCCATATTTTGGGCGAGATTCTGCATAAGAAAAAAATTTTTTTCATTCCCAAGGAGGTTACTTTTCACCCCACCTAGTAATTAGCCACGTGGCATTGTGCTGACAATAAGAATATCACATTATTATTTAAAAACTTTTTTTGTAGTGTCTGCAATAATTTGTGTTTAGTGATTTTTTTGTGAGATGGAAATGACTTATATAAAAAAATAGCAAGTGTGTATGAAATTTTTATTTATGAAGTAAATTTTTCACAAGACATATTCGAAAAAGCTTTTAAAATAATGCTATAAGTAAATCGCAAATTTATGAGTATGAATTTAATCATTTCAAAATGAATGACATGATAGAAGATTAATCGCTTTCTGATTACTCTTCCGCAAACAAAATCACAAAAAAAAATACGATAAAAATGTATAAAATGTTATTTTTAAAACTATTCTAAAAGAGTATTTATAATATCTATTATTTAATATTGTTTATTTGTATTGCGAAATAATTTTCGAATGCAAATTGTGAAATACTACAAAAAAAATTGTGGATAATGACTATATTCTCAGCGTAATATCACGCGGTAAATTGTTTCTCGTGATACTGCTGATTTGTAATATTTTTCGCTCTAATTCATATGACAAAATTATTAATAATTTATATTCTCGAAATTTTTGAATACTCTATCGTACAAGACATTTTATAACATGGGTTATTTCATTGATTTTTCATATCTAGTTTTCAAAGTTATAATATAGTTTTAATAGTTACATTTCAAAAACTTCTGTATCGTTTTATATCACATTGATGAAAGTATACTTGTGCATGAATAGAAAATGGTCCGCGAAAGTCTTTTATATCTTTACTTTTCAGTAATAAAATTTTGAATAGTATTATTTCTATATACTTGCCAGATCCGTAAATTAATGATGATACAACACAAAATAATAAATAACCATAAATATTCGTCAACTTTAATTGATTTATACTTATCTGTTTTCTGCCCTCTGTAGCAATTCTTACAATTGTATAATGTATTAATAATTTTTAATATAAATAATTTTTTTATAATTAATTTTTTTTAATTTATTCAAACTTTGCAAAAATAAAATGTCACTAGCATTTCATTAATTTTTCGGTATTATGTCTCTTATAAGCATTTTATTGCAACGACAATATAATCTTAAATTAAACGTACTTTAAGAATGAATGAAATATATTTTATTTTTTTCTTCGAAATTGATAATTTTTTTGTAAGATCAATATATCACATGCACCTTGATAGATATTTGGAAACCTTAATATGTCAAATGTATAATTACATCATGTATTGATGTAATTATTCGCCATTGCATTACACGCCTCTTATTTAAAATTCAGAGCATGTAATAGGCCGTCAGTATCGTAATGCTTACTATTGTTACGTTATTGACATACGTAGCGAACATTGCGACAATTCATCGTATGATGAAATAGTTTTATAAGCAATTACAATCATCATTTTATCAAAAATTACGAATTGGTTAAGGGAATGCTGGAGTGACCAAATTGTCGAGATATTGCAGATCGATATAAATCTCTGAATTTACTGAATGAAATCGAAAATCTTTTTACAGAATTAAAGTAGACGTAAAATTGAGAGGTGCTGCATGAACTTTACACTAAAATCGAAAAAAAGTTAAAAATTTAGGGGAGATCTAATAGACTCATTTTTCAGTTTCGAATTTTTATAGACGAAATTAAGAGACTTATCGAAAAAATGAATTCTATACCAGTTACTACATACATTTGACTGCCTAATAATGTTTTAATAATAAGAGGAAACTAATAACTAATATGAAAAAAATGCATTTTTCTAATGTATTCCATCTGATTCAACTAGCCTCGAGACCGAGGTAATTCGATTAAAATTATTAAAATAAAGATTAATATATTTTAAGCTACATCTTTGGCTACATATTAATAAAACTTTTATAAAAATATATTTTAAACACAAACATTCGCTTCGCAGGACAAAACAATACTTCTTTTCGCAAAATTTGTTCATTTCGTGCAAAAACACGTCGAACAAGCCTAGTTTTTGAGATTGGACATGAGGGAATTAAACTTATAACATTTACTACTGAGGAAAATCTCTTTAAAGAAATAAAATTTTGAATAAGTACTATAAGAGTCGTCACTAAATGAGTCATACAGTTTTCATGCTGTGGTTAGTCTACTATCCCCATCCGTTCATTTTTTAAATACATAGTATATTAAATACATTAACAATATACGATAACAAAGACACATAAACAAAAAAATCTGTTGGACTTTATTAAGTAAGAATTACACTTACTATCTAAGTAGAAATCAAATATTTCAGATAATCATATACGATATTTTGTAAAACAAAAACTTTAAGAATAAAAATATTTACTTTACGATTTTTTAAAATTGTGGCATAACTTCTATCATAGATATGTTCGCAACAAGATATACTATTACAACAGACTTAGCGACAGTCGCTGTGTGCTCAGACGCCTTTACACGTGTCTTGCGTGTTTTGTAACCTCGATTATTCTACCTCTTACCTCTATATTCAACTGACCCCGGTCTCCCCTACATTTTTTTAACTCAACTGTCATCTGACGTAGATGTTTCTTTAATACAAAAGTTTTATAACTTAAAAAAGACAAAGCGACAATTCAGTATTTAGCGCTTTACATGCACAAAAAATACTGAATTTACAAACAATACTGAGAAAAACTAAGATTAAAAACTTAAAAAAAAAAGATTTACATTGATTTGCAAACTATGTATATAACTCTGAGCGAGAAGATTCGTAAACAAAGCAATAATTATGTTTAGCAGTAAGTATTTGATTTTGCAAGATATGGCGTTGCAATATGTTAGATAAGAACAGATGCAGACGTTTGAATGAGAATAATGTAATAGCGTTTTTCACACACTCAATGCACATTAAAGCTGTTGTACACTAACCTAATCTGAATGTAAAAGTGAGATATCTCAATTAATAAAATATGTATATATATATGTGTGTGTGTGTGTGTGTGTGTGTATATATATATGTATATATATTTTATCAAATATCACAATAAAATGTATTAAGGATTTCGCGGTTTAATTCGTTTCTATATTTTTATCAAACGTATATCTTTACATCGATTTGTCATCCTATTTGTTGTTACAACGGCTTTGAGTTGCGCACCAGTAAAAAATGCTATAATTAATGAACTAAAGACTATTATCGATGTATTATCAACATCAATCAAATTTGGCGGTCATTCTAACATCCCTTTAAATGAAATAGTTTCCAATCAAACTCTTGCGAAATATCCATTAAATCTAAATTTGTTTAAGAATTGATACAAAAATTATTGTTAAGTTATTGAAAAGTAGTATATTGCAATAGTTACATAAAAACTGTAAAGAAAAACTTTCAGAGATCTTTTTAAGTAATGTAGTTACGTCATGAAAGTAAATTGCAAGAAATGGCAGTAGAATAATAATTATATCTTCCGTTGAAAGAATTTTTTCTGTCGGGAAATTATCCATGAACTCTTACATTACACGATCACTATATATATTTATCGTCTATATGATCATTTTATAATTTACAAAACATATGAGTGTGACGTCTATATGATCGTTTATATGATCGTTTTATAATTTATACAAAACATATGAGTGTGACAAGAATAAAAAAGATAAAATTATAATAAATAAAACAAAAAAAAGAAAAAAGTATTTTCTTTTTTATTATTTAAATATCATTTATTTTACAAATATAGAATGTACAACAAAAAAACACAATTCTTAACAATTTTTATAGTCACTTAGTTAACTTTTAGATTAATTTAGCGTTTGACTATAATAGACAACAAAGTAACAAGTAGCAAATATAATTATAATCTCACTCAAAAAATCACTGATCAATATTAGTTATATTTTAACGTAATATTATAAAGTGTATATGTACATTTAGGTAATAAAACTTATACATTATCTTATTTAAAAAAGTTAAAAACGCTATATTTATCATATGGCACATAAGAAAACTGAGAAAAGTGAATGCAAAGATCGGTCCAAAATATTAAACTAAATAGATTTTTATGAAACTTTCATTCAACATTCTACTATTCTAGATCATAGAATAATACTAATGAAAGGATTTTATGTAACAGAAACGATGGCACGAGTAGAATCTACTTAATCCTACCTTCTCGGAATTTGAGAAAAAAGCTAATTAAAAAGATCAAAGAGCAGGTTATTTGAATGACTGAGAAAACTCAACTTGCGAAGCTCACAAAATTAAAGAATCGATAAGTGGAATTGTTAAAAAGAACGAAACATTGCACAAAAGGGCAGTACAACCCTATGTTCCAAATCATCATATTGGCCCTCCTGATCATCTCTACATAAAATCCTTTCACCAATACGATTCTATAGAACGTTTGGTGAAAATGTTAAACTAAAGAGATTTTCATGAAAATTTTTTTAGTTTAACATTTGACATCATTCTTTGCATACTCTTTTAATAATGCAGTACCTGAGAAATATACACATTAATCGTTTTTATGTAACCTCGTGACTCTTTACTCTGAACTGGCCTAGTTTTTATTACTAATTGCGTAAGATTTATTTCTTATCATTGTCCTTGCATTGTCCTTTTTCTAAAATTACGTTCTAAACAATAATCGTTCTTTTTATTATCGGTTATCATCGGATTTACGAATTACATATGCAATTGTGTTAAAGATGAAATATAATCGGATCATTGCACATTTCTGCCATCAATAACTTATCAATTATACACAATTTTTTGTGTAATTCTAATTATAATTTTAGATAATCAAGACTACTTCATTGTATGTTTACATACAGTCTAGTCATTTTTTTACTGCACATTACATATTGTATAATGCGCATGGAATAATTATAAACGCAATTATATTTATCGAGACACATACGAAATTAGGACAACAAATTAGGTAGATAACATTGGTATGTCCATTATTGATATATCTGTCGCAGTCTTTTCGCGAAAAGGCTAACTCGCATCAGCCTTATTGCAGCCTAAACAGTGTCCGCTTGGAAGATTTCTAACCCATGAAGACAGTGAGGTGTGAGAACAGTCTTTTTAGAATGATCTTTTTACTGTAACTTCTAAGCTTGCAACTACTAAGCTGCAACTTCTAGTTAGGTTTCGAGCGGATAGGATATGTTATTTCTTTTTTGTTCGGGGTAGCCGTCAATAAGCACTACTGTCCACATGATAGATTTCCTAACTTCTATAGTTGTCAACTTTAACGCTCAATATCTCGCAGGACAGTTCCCGATTTTCTTCTGTCAGATTTTTTCATTTTACACAAAAAAGGCTAGATGTTTCGTTAGCCTTTTTTGCAGAACGTATATCATTAACCAATACGGCTGATGTAAGTTACCTTTTTCGTGAAAAGTATGTCATCCTAATTGAGAAACGATCGTTGATTTCGCAAAAAGGCGCCGTTTTGCGTAAAGGCTACACTGTTAGAAATGTTCTTAAATTTAATTAAATTTTAAGTTACACAATTTGTACTTAATTTCATGACATTACATAAAATTTAATGTATTTTTCATGAAAATTTATGAAATTTAATGTACTTTTCATAAAATTTTATTCAAAATATATTAAATCTCATAAATTTAATGTATACGTTCATTTAAGTAATTATTGTAACTTAATTTTCAGTTAAATTATTCATTACTTTTAATTTCATAACCACGAGCTTCATTTACATATAAAGGAAGTTCGTGGTTACATTTTTAATAATAGCCTTTCCGTGACTAATTTCGTAAAAAGGCTGCGACATATCCATTATGATATGATCAGTCAATCGCAACATATCGCACATATCTGTACAATATTACAGTTCAAAATTTCTGACCATCTTTAACAATCTTCCTTTTTCTTTTTTTCATATAGGAATAATGTTCCTTTGCGATACGCTTGCATAATCGAAACGTCTGCAAACAAATTGAATCCTTATACATTATATTATAATACATTTCGGATCGAATCTATTTTTTTCCTTAGCCTTTTCTGAGCTCACGTTTAATTTCGTGATTAACTGTCGATGGTGATAGCCAATCTTGTTTAATGAGGTCAGCACCTTTTTCACCGATCATAATGACAGGAGCGTTTGTGTTACCACTGCATATCGTCGGCATGATAGATGCATCGATAACTCGAAGACCCGCGACACCGTAAACTCGCAATCTAGGATCCACTACGGCTGTAGGGTCAGTCGGTGGTCCCATTTTAGCTGTTCCTACCGGGTGATAAATTGTCATAGAAATATGTCGAATATGACATTCCCAGTAAGCATCGGTACCGAATTTGATGTGTTTACATCCCGGAAGTTTGACGCGATGAAGTTTTGAGCCAAATTGTTTAAAGACTTTTGCCTCGCTGACTTTGAGCGCAATCTTCGCACCTTCCACCAAGATGGCTATGTCCATAGGATCAGAAAAATAATTCGCATTGATAATAGGATGATGAAAAGGATTGGAACTTCTCAAACGTATAGTGCCACGAGACTTGGGCCTTAACAGAAGAGGCATGATGGTCCAGGCGTCTCGATTGTTAATTGGTCTGTAGACGGTGTTGTATACTTCGTCTGTTAACCCTAAAACTTTCCGAACTTGTATTCCCGCGTCAGAATTAATGGAGGCTGGCGCCATATGGAATTGCACGTCCGGATAATCGATAGAGTGATTAGCATACTTTGTATTTACAAAGGCGTAACCTTCAACGCCACCCAAGGTCGTCATGGGACCTCGGCCGTTAATCACATAATGCATCATCATCGGAATCGCCTGAAAACGATCTTGAACTATAGCAACTGATTTATCGATCAAAAATGTCAAACCGCCCATTCCTACATGATCCTGAAGATTTTCGCCGACTTGAAGATCTTTGATAACAGGAATACCAACATGTTGTAGATGTTCCTTCGGTCCGATTCCCGATAGCATCAAAATTTGAGGACTGTTAATGGCACCTGCTGACAATATCACCTCCTTCCGTGCTCTTATTATTTGTCTGCGACCATTCCTAACAAACTCGACGCCAATCGCTCTCATAGTTAACGGATCGATCACGATTCTCGTCACGTGACTATTCATAGCTATATGAATGTTCTTGCGTAATCGTATAGGCCGCAAGAAAGCCTTCGCGGTGGAACATCTGCTTCCCCTGCGAATAGTTCCTTGAGATATCATAAAACCCGTCTGCTTTTCGCCATTTATGTCCCTGTTTTCGTATCCCAATTCAACGCCTGCTTGAACAAAAGCAACCACTAAAGGAGTCTTCCACGGCGATTCCTGTACTGTTAGGTAGCCATCGGTCGCGTGATATGGACTTCTCCGCAAGTATGGATTCCGATTGTCTTCTGATTTTTTGAAGTAGTAGAGAACTTGATCATATCCCCAACCGGGATTACCGAGCGATTCCCAATGATCGTAGTCTTGTTTATTACCACGCACATATAGCATGTAGTTAAAAACACTACTTCCGCCTATCACTTTACCTCTTGGCCAATTACAACGACCGCCCTTCATAGCCAAGCAAGCTTTACCTGTAGCCTCAGTCTTGTACTTCCAATCCAACGTGCTCAACTGCAAGTATGCAGCCAGAGATGGCACGTCTGTAATTTCGTTTTCATCTGGGCCGGCCTCTAACAATAGCACATTCCAGTTTGGTATTTCCGATAGTCGACTAGCAATTACCGCTCCAGCCGATCCGCTTCCAATTACAATAAAATCGTAATCAGAGTAGAGAGGGTGCCTGTCGATGAGTCGACTCTCAGGATCCAGTTGATCGTAACGATAGTAAGAAAGACCCGCAATTAACAATGGTACGAGCCATAAACCTG